GTAGGGGTTTTTGTTCTCGGAGAAGAACTTTGACATGCTGCCTGGTTGGCCACCGGCTTGCTGGGAAAGGATAAATGGAGCGATATCGGTTCCATTGTAGAGCGCTGCTGATGCATGTCCGAAGTTCGGGATCACAAGCGAACCCATAATCAACAATATCTGCTTGTTCTTCAGTAGAGGGGCATCCGAATGTTCATCGCGGACAGGAAGAAGCTCTAGACCACGAATGACCGTGCCCTCGGAGAAAAGATTTCCGGGAGATTGGAACTTGGAACCATCGTAGCTCAAGAAGAAGGCCGAGCCATTGGTCGCAGTTCCTCCAATCCAGAACTTCGACAGATCTGTGCTAGCAGCAGTAAATGTAGTGATATTTCCGGGGAGATCCGACGGGGACGCTCCGGAGAAACTAGTCCATTTGTCAGATTTCGCGTCGTAGACAGCAATTGATGTCTTGTTGCCACCGACCCGAAGGTCGCCCACAGCTAAAAGCTTCTCTTGACTGGCCCAATGAAGGTCAATCACAGCACCACTCAGGGACGTGCCAGGCCAATCCCATTCACCGGTGGTTGCATCTACATAGCAAACAGAACCACATGGGAACTGCCCGACACCTTCGAAGTTTCCTCCAAAGTAGATATCAGATGAACCCGGTCGATTGACGACAGCATTGACTGCGACATCTGAGCCTGAGAAAACCGGCTGAGTCTGTGAGAACTCATTCTTGTTCAAATCGTAAACCACAAGGCCTCGGAGAGTCGCACGACCGATGTTTCCGGTGACGTTTCCACCCGCATAGAGGGTGTCGTTGTAGACAAGCATGGAGGCAAATGTTGAATTACTGTCGACGCCATGCGGTAGACCTGAGATCTTCTCATTGGTACCGTTGAGGATAGCAATATTTTCAATGACTGACCCATTGCTGCCGGTGGCAGCGAAATGGCCACCGTAGATAGTAAGATTGCGGCTCGAATCGGTATCATAGGCACCAGTGAGCAGACCAATGCTCGACTTCTGGTGGTTAAGCTTCATCGACAGAGGAATGAGTTGCAAATCATCGGAATCCAGCAGTGAGACCGCACTACCAGCGATGATACCATTTGTAGCAAGGTTACCTGCTAAAATGAGGGTATTGTTGTGCGAAGTAACACTTGAGAGTTGACCACCGAACTGCATCTGTGAAACATTGAGGTTCTGGAGCCAGTCCTTGCGGGAAGGGACCCAGATGGCAAAACCAGCAACAGATACTGCGGGGTTCCCGTTGAAGGCAATGATCTGATCGAAGTCGCCGCTTACGGCAATGATGGTCTCGTTGATAGCAGTTGATGCGTTCAATGCAACGGGCCAAATCGAACTGACAGGACCGTTCAGTCCTGCTCCCAGGGCCGACCATTGCTTGGAAGTGTATGAGTATGCCGCAACGTGTTCGAGGCCCTTTGAACCTGCGTCTGAGGTATCGGTGAAGCGACCTCCAACGTACAGGACATTGCCAAGGGTAGCCATTGCCAGTACCGGAGAGTTCAATCCGGAGCCGGGCATTGCTGTGATATCGCCATCCTTGATCGACATGATGTTGTGGATCTTGCTGTCGGAAAAATCACCGGCAACATAGATCACGTTATCATGCTCCTTGATTATTGAGATTGTTGCATTGTGGTCAAGTGAGGTCCCCGCCTTGTTAATGTCCGACTTTGTAAGATCAGAGGTTTCAGTCTTGGAGGTTGGATCATAATCGTACAGTCCGTTGAGACCGCCCGTGCTGGACAGTAGTTCAAATCGGATACGAGACGCCACAATCGTGATATCTCCTTGGCCGTCCTTTGCCCGCAGGGTAACTTTCGGTCGGAAGGAGTCGCTGTTGGCGTCGACATACCCAGTATAGAACAAGTCATACTTGTCGTGGTGGTTGGTCTGGTAGATAAAGGACGGATCGGGCCGGTCAGAGTCAGATCCACTCGAAAGGGTAGCCGTGACATTGACAATGCCCCGTGAGCTGCAAGAGTTGTCCTGGGTGCAGCCGGGTGTATATAGCTTGATGGTATAGTTACCGGATTTCTTCACGTCAGGCTCGAATGTGACGGATGTAGTCGACGCATCAGAGTCGGTCACCTTGGCAGACACATACCCAGACTCAATAGTCCAAGAGCCGGTGCGGGTTGACTTAGCAGGGTATTCAATGCCTGAGCATGTCGGTTCGTTGTATTGGTCGACAGCATATGTTAGGATTTGGTCTTGGAAGACTTCAATGCCGTTCAAGCCAGCTCCCTGTCCGTACCAACTAAGAACCTCGATCTGGAGTCCCTGCATACCAACAGGATTAACCATGGTGAATTCACGGTATGTTTCACTCGTGCTGCTGGAAAGCGGGCAGGATGAGTCACAGTTGGCCTTTTTCCCTGATTCGTCGATGTAAGTCAAATTCATAATACCATTGTCAGGGAGTGCTCGAAGTAAAAAGTCCTTGGTGCCGCGTCCATCCAAATGAGTGTTGTAGAGGCGGATCTTAGTTGGGAAAAAGTCGAACCCTAGATCTGCTCTCCAAAATCCCGGCGCATAGTCGTGTAGAAGATAGGTCTTGCCTTTGGCAGCCTCCCCATTTGTCGAACAAATGATGTTACGAGGGTCAGAGTAGCCATCCAAAGGAGAGTCTGCATCAGATGTGATGGTCGCATTTTGAAGGTTGAGAATTTGTCTTTCGTTTGAGGAGCTGGTGTGGTTTCCCAGGGCATCAAATGATCCTCCAAAGATGATATGGCCATTGCCAGCCTTCGAAACCGAGCTGACTGGGCCATTCAACCCATTGAACGGGAGATCAGTCCAGCCGTTGTCAGGCGCCCACGCGACAGCGTTAGTCGTGTTGTCGTAGTTAAATTTTCCTCCAACGTAGACGCGGTTAGTGTCCTGGTCACAAGTCACAGCCGCTACCGAGCCCGAAAGGCCCGGCAAGGCAATAACTTTACTAGTATTTGGGTTGAAGAGAGCAGCGCCTGGTGAATGGACTCCACCTAGGCTGGTGAAGTTACCACCGACAAATATCCCAGCGAAAGTTCCATCCTTTTGAGTGAAGGCGCACATTGCCGTGATTTGTGCATTGGCGGATGAAAGATTTGTGAGAATGCCGTTCGGTAGTGGGGTGAGCAGAGCTTGGGTGCCATCTGGAATTGATCCGGTCTGTCCTTTATATTGATAAATGGAGACGCCATCGAAATCGCCCGTGATTGAGACCCGTCCCAGCGAGGTCAGGTCCAATTCCGGAACGGAGACTGACTCGAATGACAAGGCGTTGAGGGTTGGTAAAAGTGCGAGAAGCGAGGGCCAGCCAGCCGCCGCGGGCCCAAACAATGAAGGGATCCTCATTGTCTTGGGAGCGACGACGGGCAAGAGAAGTGTAGTTGACCAGTTGAAATGGCTAAAACGAGTGTGGGAAGACTAGACAGGGTTGGTGCTGTCCAAGAAATTCAGGGAGGGCCGTCAGGCCGCAACGCGTGGAGAAAAGAACGTAATAAAGAATGTGGCATAAAAAAAACGAGAAACTTAAAAGCGAAGGAATGTAAATGAATGAATCATGCTCTCGAGACCGAAGCCTCACTGCATAGTATCAACGAATGACTGGATAATGAAGGTAAAGGGAGTCCAGGGGAAGACCCAGTGTTGTTTTTCTCGAAATTGAAACGGGCAATACTTAAAATTACACGTCCCAAATTAAAAATACCAAAATCACCACGCTAATGCACCACACAGCTCACAGACAACCAATGAGGATGACTAATTCCCAGCCTCCCGTTAAACTAGTGGGGACCTATCGACCATGGGTGTGTGATATCAAAGGTCTTGATGTTGACAAGAATAGTATCTATACTAGTGGGAATAGAAAAAGGTATCTATAATATCTATAATTGAGATTAATGTTTGTCAAACATATCACTAAATTGATATTATATGTATAAAGTGGTCTATAATCTAATTAATAGGGCAAGGGGGACTCGGTATAATGAGGATCTACCATTGTACGACTAATTTGCCGGTAATGACGATGATGTACGCTGTACAGCATACTTTTGGTACAGAATATTTAGCTTGTTTCCTGTGAAGTCATATCCCTTTTTAACCCTTTTGATATAAGTGTCTCTTTGGAATAATTCAATTACCTGCCTATGATCTACCTATATATTTTATATCTGTAGATCGATGTGTATTAATATACCCTTAGAATCCTATAATACACCATTAAGCTAAATCAGTAAGTGGATCTAGAGGCAGAAATGTTTCCAGGGCCCCGCGATTGTTTCGCTTAAATATAGAATTAGGCCCCACGATCTGGTTCGGTCTACGTACAACATACTCCCGAGCTCCGTATGAGACACCCCTCTAGGGCATATGTTGTATGTTGTGGATATTGGTTCCTTCATGATCCAAATAATTAACGTACATATATGTACCACATATCATCTATATACAAGACTTTGTAAGATGTCTACATACAACATAGGTTAAAGATCCATAGTGGTGTGTCTATACAGTTTGATATATGTGCATAAGCAATAACAGATGGGCATAGTAAGTACATATATATATTATTATTGCGCTTTTTCATCAGATCTGGCACCTGTACGGAGTAAGGTCTAGAAGATTTCCACTTCATACATATAATATATACTTTGTTTCAGCTGTGGTCAACACCTAAATAAACGGCATTGTGAGAGTCGACTAGGCGCTTAACGGGAGGAATTATACGACTTGCAATTAGATATAACTTAGTCATTGAGCAACTGCTAGGGCCAGTTGGATGATGGGTTGACTAGAATGGTAATACTTCCTACATGTACATATAACCGGAGTCTTTATCTCTTCAAAGATCAATACACTTCAAAATATTTTAAAATATGTCTGGCTCAACCATTCTGTATTCAAATGGAGCTTACTGAATCCAACTGAAGTTTTATAATCCCATTTTGGTAGAAATCCTCAAAAAAAAGAAAGGAAGAGAAGCTAAACATCCATAAATGCTCTTCATCGCCTCAGGCATTAGCGCTAAACTCCTTTTGGCTGAAGTGGCCTCCCTATGGCGCGCCGCAACGCGAACTCCAGAAACCGAAATCTTAAAGCTTTCAACCCAGCTCGCCCTCACCCCTCACCCACCTTTCTCATCTGTTTTCTAGCCATTGTAAACCTCTTGGCTCTGCACTCTCTCCATTCAACAGCCGCAATTTTACATCTATAAGCTCCGTCATGTAAGAGTTTTCGCGGCCGTTCTCGTATCTGGCACTGACCATCCTTCAGGGAGAGCTTCGACAACATCTACCTGGACCTCTCAAAGCAGCCTGGAAAATGCAAGCTTGCTGAGAGTGGTCTGGGCTGGCGCCCGTCCGGTGGTGGCGATACCTTCACTCTCGACAGCAGCAACATCGGTGCAGCCCAATGGAGTCGCGCTGCGAAAGGCTTTGAGCTGAAGATCCTGTCGCGATCGTCTGGAGTGATCCAACTGGATGGATTCGATCAAGAGGTAAACTACGCCGAACATTTTGCGACCATTGACCTAAGACTGACAACCCAAAAGGACTTTGAGCGACTGAGCAAAGCATTCAAGATTTGGTACGGCATTAACGTGGAGACCCGCGAGCACGCACTTCGAGGATGGAACTGGGGAAAGGCAGAATTCACAAAAGCAGAGCTGGCCTTTAACGTCCAAAACCGACCCGCCTTCGAAGTCCCTTATTCCGAAATCTCAAACACCAATTTGGCTGGAAGGAACGAGGTCGCCGTTGAGTTTGCACTCCCTACTGGCGACGGAGGCGATGCCGTGACAAAGCCTGGAAGCACAAAGAACCGAGGCCGCAAGGCTGCTGCAGGCCCCGACGAGCTGGTCGAAATGCGATTCTACATTCCCGGAACGGCCACGAAGAAGGAGAAGACAGAAGGCGAAGGCGCCGAGGGCGAAGAAGAAGATAACGAGGAAGGGGCTGAGGAGCAGAATGCTGCCAACCTCTTCTACGAGACACTTATGGACAAGGCCGAGATTGGAGACGTCGCCGGCGATACCTTTGCTACATTCTTGGATGTTCTTCATCTCACGCCCAGAGGTCGCTTCGATATTGACATGTACGAATCGTCCTTCCGGTTGCGCGGAAAGACATACGACTACAAGATTCAATATTCGGCCATTAAGAAATTCTTCCTTCTTCCCAAGAATGACGATACCCACACTCTTATTGTCCTTGGTCTTGATCCTCCTCTGCGACAGGGTCAGACCCGTTATCCTTTCCTGGTTATGCAGCTCAAGTTGGACGAGGAGATTAGCCTTGAGATGAACATGACAGAGTCAGTTCCCCTGCGCTTGTGTCTACTTCACACACTAACAATATTTTAGGGATATCTTGAACAGTCAGTACAAGGACAAGTTGCAGCCCCACTATGAAGAGCCAATCCACCAGGTCGTCACCAAGGTTTTCCGTGGCTTATCTGGAAAGAAGGTCATTATGCCTTCTAAGGATTTCTCCAGGTCAGTAACTGCCAGCCTATCTTTAGAATCCCAAAGCCCATTGCTAACACACCCATAGCCACCACGGTCACCAAGGCGTCAAGTGCTCAATCAAGGCCAACGAAGGTCTCCTATACTTTTTGGATAAGAGCCTCATGTTCGTTCCCAAACCCGCGACCTACATTCAAATGGAGAACATCGCGATTGTCACAATGTCGCGTGTCGGAGGCGCTGTTTCTGCCAGTCGAACCTTCGATATCACTGTTAGCCTGAAAGGTGGCTTGGGTGAACATCAATTCAGCAATATCAACCGGTAAGTACTCCAACATTTTCTTCTTTTTTCCCCCGGGATATTCTGACATGAACAGCGAGGAACAAAAATCCCTCGAGGACTTTTTCAAGGCTAAGAGCATCCGCATCAAGAATGAGATGGCCGAAGAGGTATGTTTCCCTATGTTTCCCTATGTTGATACCAATACTAATTATCTCCTAGGCTTCTGGACTTATTGCTGCTGCTCTTGACAACGCTGCCATGGGCTCCAGCGATGATGAAGTGCGAGCTGATCGCGGATCAGCAGATGAGGACGAGTCGTCAGTCGACGAAGACTTTGCTGGTTCTTCAGAATCTGATGTGGCTGAGGAATTCGACTCTGATCACGAGAGTAGTGGTGATAGCGATGAGGAGATGGGTGATGCTTCCGGTGGAGAGGGCGACAAGCAAGAGGATGAGCCTCCTAAGAAGAAGAGCAAGACGTCTAATTAGATGTACAGCTAGTTATCTCAAAATATCCAAGTTTCTTCTAGTAATACAACATTTTATACTCCGTAGTCCAATGTTTTGATATAGTGGATCTCACGTGAATTGGTGATTGGCGGACCAATTCTGGGGGTTCCGTTTTAACCCCCTGATCTCAGGAGAAGAGATATCTGGCCAAGTAACAAAGTACATATGCATATATATATATATAAATATGACAGTAGCATCCATTACCAATGAGAAATCTCACATTCCTACATATGTAGCTGGAAATAGAACTGCAGTTCTATTAATTAGAACCATGCAAGCTGGCAGTCACGAGGAATTTAGGATGTCTTACGGTGTACGAAGTACAAAAGTAAATAGAGTCAAAAAAAAGACCCGAAATAAAGATAAAATTGAAGCAATTGAAGTAGACAAATAGAAATAAATAATTGCATCTACAAAATATACGAGTCCAAATTCCGAAGAATTGTATAGTTTGAACACATCAGGTGTTTTCTACGCGGGTCGATCCAAACCAACTCCAGAATAGCTGGGCCCCCCCGACAACCTCCCCCCTTTCTTTCCCAGACTGGCAGAGTTCAAACCTCCTTCTCTCCATCATTCTCATCTTCTTTCGTTTCATTTCTTCCTCTTTTCTTTTCCTCGTCCCTCGCTTCTGGTCAATTTAATCCAGCCCCCTTTTTCTTTTCTTTTTGGAAAATAATTCTAGGTACACACACACCCCCCCCCTTCTCCCCGATTTTTTTTTCCCCTATCGCGACAATTCGACCCCACTGAAGATTAAGAAAGGCAACTGACGACGTTTATCATCTAGGGGATCTTAATTCGCAGTTTTACATATCCTAAATCTTCCGGCTTTCGCAATGTGTAAGCTATCCCACTTGACCAGGAGACGCAAACAATCTCGAAGCTCTTCCCCGGATAAGATACTGATAGGTTTTAAAGCTTCGCCACCTGCGAGCAGCTCTCCCGTCGCGTCTCCAGTCACGTCCCAGGACTCTCCCTCCCCCAACAACGGCATGGATGCGCCTTACGTCGAGCGTAGCAACCCCATGGGCTCCGGTATCGCCCAGACAGTCACCTCCCGCGACCCCAAGGCCGCAGCTCAGGCCGCCACTGACATGAAGAACGTTGTTCGTCGTAAGCTGACTGGCTATGTTGGTTTCGCCAATCTTCCCAACCAGTGGCACCGCAAGAGTGTCCGCAAGGGCTTCAACTTCAATGTCATGGTTGTCGGTAAGTTAGACAGGTGACAACATTGCATGAACCAAGCTCATACCCACCAGGTGAATCTGGTCTCGGAAAGTCCACTCTTGTGAACACTCTGTTCAACACCTCGCTCTACCCCCCGAAGGAGCGCACCGGTCCCAATGCCGATATCATCCCCAAGACCGTGTCTATCCAGTCGACCAGTGCCGACATTGAGGAGAACGGTGTGCGTCTCCGCCTGAGCGTGATTGATACCCCCGGCTTCGGCGACTTTGTCAACAACGATGATTCATGGCGCCCAATTGTCGAGAATATCGAGCAGCGCTACGACACATACCTGGAGGCCGAGAACAAGGTCAACCGTAGCAACATTGTCGACAACCGTATTCACGCCTGTGTCTACTTTATCCAACCTACCGGTCACTCCCTGAAGCCCCTGGATATTGAGGTGATGCGCCGCCTGCACACCAAGGTCAACCTGATCCCCGTTATTGCCAAGGCTGATACCTTGACCGACGATGAGGTTGCCCTTTTCAAGCAGCGTGTATGTCATTGGAAGCCCCTTTTAATTCGTTTGAAACTGTGAATACTGACTTGTCTAGATTCTTGCCGATATTGAACAACACTCCATCCAGATCTTCGAGGGCCCCCGCTACGAGCTTGACGACGAGGAGACCATTGCCGAGAACCAGGAGATCATGTCCAAGGTTCCCTTCGCCGTTGTTGGTGCCAACTCTGAGGTGACCACTGCTGATGGCCGTCGTGTCCGTGGCCGTAGCTACCCCTGGGGTATCATCGAGGTTGACAACGAGGAGCACTGTGACTTTGTCAAGCTGCGCCAAATGCTGATCCGCACCCACATGGAGGAGCTTAAGGAGCACACCAACAACTTCCTGTACGAGAACTACCGGTCCGACAAGCTCACCCTTATGGGTGTTGCCCAGGACCCCAGCGTCTTCAAGGAGGTCAACCCTGCCGTCAAGCAGGAGGAGGAGCGTGCCCTGCACGAGCAGAAGCTGGCCAAGATGGAAGCCGAAATGAAGATGGTCTTCCAGCAGAAGGTCGCCGAAAAAGAAAGCAAGCTCAAACAGAGCGAAGACGAACTCTATGCCCGGCATCGCGAGATGAAGGATCAGCTGGATCGCCAGCGCGGAGAACTTGAGGAGAAGAAGGGTCGCCTCGAGACCGGACGCCCTGTCGAAGAGAAGGGCAAGCGAAAGGGCTTCTCGCTTCGCTAAATTCCATGATTCTGCCTATACTTCTGGCAACTAACTGATCTCACTCTCGTTCCCTTTTTTTCCCTTACAACTTGTCACCCATCACACTCTCTTACCATCCCATAACGCAACTGCTTTCTCACTGGATGGGCCCACGCATCGAAAAAAGAATGGGGTTTTTTTTCCTTACCGATTGATTGATAATACGATCCTGCGAGGGTCAGCCTGGGACCTTTCACTTCTTGTGATGTACTTTTTGCTACGCCATATCTTGTCTTGCCGCTTTTTTGTGTGCCCTATTACCCGCTCATTTCGTTATTTTCTTAGTGTTTGGGACATTTGGCTGTTCACCGCCTGTCCGTTGTGTTAGTCAATTCAGCGCTTCAGCTTTAGATTTTTCAAGTTCAAGTAAACGGTAGACAGTATATAGAGTAACTTGCAGACGGATAACGGTAGCTTGTGTAAGTAGCAGCTGATTAGAACGTACGTTAATATTCGATCTTATCAAGGCTTAGGAAAGAATCCAAACGTACCTTTTAGAGTAGAGAATACGCTTTCATGTTCTGTTCCATCAGACAGAATAGAGGACTCAATCTTCTCCCATAGAGACATGAAAATGCCATTTGCCAACCTATCCATGGCCACAACTTGGTCTAATTCACAGACACTGCGGCGTATCAACGAGTTGATGACCTTTTTTCATGCCTTCCAGCATTTTATTGGTTGTCAATGATCCAACTTTAGGCTAGTAACACTAGTCACACTTCGCCATTATGCACATAGAGGCACAGATCAGAGCCCAATATTTCGGCAATGCGGATGGAGTACAGAGTACGGAGTACTCTGTACTAAAATAATGGACTTCCCACTCAAGGTCACGCAACTGAGCAGGAGCAAAATCTATTTGGAAGCTAGGTACTCCTTCTCATATTTCTCTTCTTAGTTACGACCCAATTTATATCACATATTATAAGTAGTGTCAATACCTGGGGGTGAGGTATGCTCAGAGATATACATCAGTTAGTTTCTTCCCTATTGCAATGAACTCTTATCCTGTCCCCTTGGCTCAACAATATTTTATTTTAGTTGTTATGAGTATCATTTGCAAATTGATGATAAATTTTAATGACATTAAGTAAAGAAACACCGATATACAGTAGGGTTGATCAACAAATATATCCCAGAATTTCCCTTTTCTAAAATTTGCCCCTTTTGGGTTGAGAATGACTTTCCAAATAGAAATAGATCGTAACCTGACACTTCATGTGCCTGTTCGCGCCGGCTTCCATGATCACCATTTCCTACTAAAATGGTTCAACAATGCAGAAATGGATGCTTCAAAAGCTCACTGGCAGAGGATCGGGATTGTGGATCCTGCTGTAGCATTGATCAGAGAAAGGAGGCAAATTTTTCTCTATTTTCTGCACCAAAATCAGATTGCAGCCTTTCCCTGAGGTGAGCGGCAAAGCCAACATAGCCATTTCCAGTGGCCTGAGTGACGAGATCGCTTAAATTTGCGCGACATTCCTCATTAGTACATCCGAACGTCATCAAAGGAAAGAGTGGTTCATTTGTAGCAAGCTGGAATATCTGTTCGATTTAATGTTATAAGCTACCATAGCGAACCTTGAAATGGACCGGGATGCTCAGGTCACGAGGTGCCCAGGTGCCCAGGTGAGAAACAGTACTTACCAAGCAACCTAGTGCCCAGATATCAATTTTACTATCCAACGATCGCCCGTTAAGCATTTCAGGAGCTCTCATTCCGAAGGGAGTCATAGGAAGGGAGTTCTTATCATTCGATTGGAATGCTATTGTAGGCCATGCTATTAATGAGCCGTATCTCGAACTAGTCAATATGTGGTGCTTACCTCCGCCAAAATCGCCAATCTTAACCATCAAGCATGAAGCATTGGTATCATCTAGCATACCATAGGGTCGCTGGGAGATCATCAGATATTGTAGAGCACTCGAGTCCACTTCGATTCCCGGGAGCCAGCGAACGGGACTAAACTCTGGCGGCATAAGAACGTTCTGGAGCTTGATCTGGTTCGTGTTGAAAAGTATGTTTGCGGGGTGCAAATCTAAAGGGATGTTAAAAGAATGATTATTCCTCTATATCCCGTATATGACATCACTTACCACTGTGGATAAAATTCAGTTCATGAAGGAATTCCAAACCGAGGATAATCTGTGTAGATACAGTCCGCACAAACGTTACATCTCGAGCCTTACCACGTGCAGTCATTGCCTCACCATCAGACAGCATTGAAGGAAACACAAGACAGAGGTGTGAACCGTTCGGACCATTATGTGCGAAATGATCAAGAAGTGAAAGAACATGTTCCTTGCCGGGATGAGATATAGACAGCTGTGACAATTCAGTGAGAATGGATAGTTCCTTGCTCTTCTCCGATGCAGTAGCTTTGAGGATTTTTAACGTGACATCTCTCTGTAGCCTATGGAGATAGAGCTCAGAAATTGAAACAAGTTAGGAAGATACATGCTCTTACCGGTTGTCTTTTGCCAGCCATACGGTAGAAAATTGGCCATATGACCATTTACCGACAATCTCGTATCTCTGATTGAACAGATCTCCCAGATGCACGGGGTGATAGCCGCCAGTCTTGTACTACTCGACTGGCTCAACGACGTCGTAGATCCTCTCAAAACGACGCATGTCGATCGATGAGATAGAAGATGCGTGGTGGCGGTCATGAAGAAGTGAAAGGAAAGTAAAAACCCTGGCTAGGAGCTCAATATACATGTTATCTGAAGCGAGGGGTGGCAATCTTGGAAGAGGGAATAGGTCATGTGATACCTTCCGTGTTGCTACTATGTACGCACATCAATAAAGCAACATTCGAACCTTCTTGTTAGCAATCCGTACATCCTACATCGGTAGTTCTCTCTTACTACACCGATGCTCACGCCGGGGTAGACTGATCCAGTGGTAGCCTCACGCGGAACGGTCGAGTTTAGTACAAAGGACTTGGTCGCGTCTTTTGTGAACAAGACATCAACTTCTGCCTCGCCGGATGCTGCAAGGATATCGTGAATATATCGTGCCTCGGTAACGAACGGATTTCGGCATGTTTTGCGGACACGAATAATTACTGTCACAGGATTGGAACTCCGACGGGGATTTGTTCCATACCGAAAACAGTTCAAGCCAATCCAGTCATTGTTGTTGGAATAATGGGCCACGATCTCCTGCGCAAGGTTCTTCCACTTAGGGAAGATAGAGTGGCTGGACTCAACGGGTGAACAATAATTTCCATTGAACAAGTCTGTTTCAATGATCTCAACCGAGATTCCATGATGGCAGTGGCGTAGTAACAGTTGGTTGATCTCTCGTGCAGCTCGGTACCATAATTCTAGCTGGGGTCGGTTTGGCATTCTGATAAGCACTGTTGTGACTCGTTCAGGCTCAGGAGCAACCTTAGAATGTCTGCCTACAAGCCGAATGCCCTGATATTGTAGATGAAGATCACGCAAGACCTCTGTTGCATATCCTTCGATCTGATGCACAGTGGCGGAGTCATAATAAGATCTAGTTGTAATCGTGCGAGCTGGTAGTGAACATAGATACGGGCCGCCGGCGCGGAGTGGTGACTGTAGAAACCTCGCTTTATCAACGAGAACAGGCCCATCGAATGGAGAGGTGGATGATGTTGAACAAAAACCCATTGAATGGGCGCTCACTTGTGAAAAGGAGGATGTGGCAACTGATGGAGATGCCATGGCGAAAACTTTAAATTTGACGACAGGGAAATGGGTTCAGAGAGGAGAATTCAGTGATTGAATCAGCAGGTAGATGGCTGGCACAGGCGCAGGGTTGAATCAGAAGATGGAGGAGGAAGGATGGCAGAAGCGCAAGCAGGGTTCAACTTATATGAAAGGTTCTGTTCCGAAATCAGTATAAAGTTTGAAGAGTAGTCTAGAGGAATTTTAGGTCCCCCGGTCTGCTAATATATATGTACATAGGTAGTTATGGCGTTTTATTTTTCATCTGAATACTGTATTTTTCCTTACTAAACAAATAGTACAACCCTGGAAAGTGAGCATGCTTTCACTATTCTCTCACTCTCTACTCACTTTCTCCTCTATAATCTGCGAGAAAAGTTCCGTAGTTATTCCTCCTATGAACAGATCTCTGTTTATTCAAACGGTGACCGCAAAGTACCGCTTGAATAATCATCCCTAATTCTAAGTAGAGAAGTCTATCTATTGTCAGGGCAAAATAAAGTAAGTATGTAGCCGTGCCATTTATCATAGCCGGTTTCAAGGATTCTCTATTTGAGGGCTGAGGTGGTCTTGTTGTGTTGGTCAACCATCCATGTTGTAGAGGGCTATAAAAGTCACGTGTTAAATATGACGTCACTTCTATATATTGCAACCCAGCAGATATGGCTGAGCGGTAAACGCTCGAGCGATATCTCACTCATCTGGGTGCATGGAGTCCCTCTAAGCTTACCGTTCAAAACTGGGCACGAGCCAAATTGGGGCATGGAGCCCCTCTATCCTCGGGGGGTTCCTAAAAGACGGGGCAGAAAACATCAATCCCTGCCCGGAATCATCTTTTTTTTTTTTGTTATTTGTGTTCGTTTGAGATCTTACATACCTTTCGTTCATGAGGGATACGGTCAGATTTATACATAAATTATCGTGTTGCCCGAAGGGGATTGTTGTTTGTTAGACTCCTTGTGTCCAAGAAAATGGACTTGTCTTTCTTTTATGGTATTATTAGGTCTACTATTCATTGAAGTGTTTATTCCACAGAGCGTTATTCCGTACAAAAAATACGGGGACACAAATAAACAACGGAATGGTTGAGGTTGGGGAACGCCTAGATATGTAGAAATCCTATAACAGATCAACTAACACTGCTTCTACCGACATTCGTCTTCTCCATTTTCGCTCAATACTTATTATTCCAACACTTGGGGAAGCACAACTGTACGGCAAAGGAACTAAAACCATGGTGAGCATTTCAATTGACCGATGATGATGTGGACATTTTTGTTATGGTACACATTTGGGACCTACCTGCTCCAAAAGCCACTGGTCCCGAGGGAAAAAAAAAAGAAAAGCACGCCTGCATCAAGGGAAATAAGGAACAGAAAATGAAGAGTATCAACTCCGGTTTACCAGGCCTCGGTGTCGAAGTTCTCAACCCCGAAGTACGAGGCAACGACTGTACGGTCCGAGAACTTGCGACCCGCCAGCGCCTTGAGAGCGGTGGTGGCGGACTCGGCGGTATCATACTTAATGAAGATTTTGCCAGCACCGTGTCCGCGGCGAGGGATCTTCATTCCGAGAATCTTTCCAAACTTGGAGCATTCCTCGCGCACATCTTCCAGGATTTCTTCGTAATCTTCGTCATTGAGGAGCTCGTCAAGCGTGACCATGTTGAGAAGCTGCAGGACCTGGGTAGTCTCAAGATCCTGAGATGTGGTTTTGGCGAACATCTGCATGGCATTCACGCCCATGTCGAGGCCCGAGGCTTGTGTAGTTCCAATGCTGGCAAGAACAAACTTGAGGGGGCGCTCGCCTAGTTCCATGCCGTTCAAACCTTCAACGGCAAGAGCAGTGTTGTTTGGGTCGATGTATTCATAAAATGCAATTCCCTGAGAAGTTAGTCGCACAAACATTGGACGATAGGGAGATGCTTAAACTTACCCGAGACTCTTCTGTAGCAGCATCCTTGACCAAGACAAATGACTTGAGCGGACCGAATGACGTAAGCAGCATGCTGAGAGGTTCCTCATTGATGTAGGTGGGAATATTAGAGACACAAATCTTGTTGGGCGAGTCGGGCACTTCGCTCAGCACAACGCCCTCTTGGACTGGCTGCGCTGCGCTGCCGTCGGGAACAATGTAGTCCTTTGGCCGGCGCACTTCAAGTCCCTTGTCTCCACTCTCTGCCATGGTAATTCCATTAAAGGCCAATGCGACTGTGGCATCATTCGGATCCTTGAACTCCAGAAGCGCGAATGTTTTATCCTCAGAAACTTGGGCTGAGATACAGGGGTCAACACTATGGATAACATTGAGACCATTCAACTGAAGATTGAAGAAGGCAATAACGTCATCGCCCGAGACACCGGATGGGATGTTATAAACGAAAAGCCGCTTCGCTTGACGAGAGTTAGAAGGCTTGAGGGCAGCGTTCTCGCTATCGCCAGTGGGAGGGTTCAGGAAGTCCTTCATGCGACTAGGGTCCATTGGCTGCTGGCGAGGAGCTCCGGGAAGAGGGAACATCCCTAATAATGTTAGACAATTCCACTAGCCCATAAGCTTCAAATACATACCTGAGATCTTGGCCTGTTCAGCTGTAACATTCTCGTAGCCAGGGGGCTTCATATCCCATTGAGTCAAACGACGTTTGCGGGTCAACACCGAGGGCACATCTGTCAGGTCAGGAGTAGGCTCCTTGCGCCGCGGGGGCGTGGCACTTCGCTTGCGCTCTCTTCTCTCACGTTCTCCACGATCTCCACGGTCTCCGCCACCACGTCCGCCGCGACGGTCGTCGAACAGGTCGCGACGGGGTCTGTCATCAAAGTCACGTCGGCGACCACCACCCCGGTCACCGCCGCCACGATCACCGCCGCCACGATCACCGCCGCCACGATCACCGCCGCCACGATCACCACCACCACCACCACGCTCAGCGCGGTCACCACGGTCCCACTCCCGATCATCACGGCGGCCAGAGTAGCGGTCTTCACGCTCACGGGCACGGTAGTCACGGCTGGTTGAGTATGAGTTCACTTCGCGCTCCCGACGGGAGTCAGCTCGGGATCCATGATGAGGCGAACGCGAGCGACGTCGTTCACCGCGATCAGTCCGATCGCCCCGTTCAGCTCCACGCTCAGCTCCTCGTTCCGCACCACGCTCAGCACCTCGGTCGGCAGCTCGCTCAGCTCCCCGTTCGGGCCTGTCACCTCTGTCTCGATCACGTCGTTCGTCGCGCTAGAATTGAGGTTAATCGCCGCGGTTGCGACCAAACATTGGCTTGTACTTACGAAGTAATCGCGGGAACGTCCAGAGTCTAGGAGATATTAGCATCTAAGTCAGGAGTAATTGTAAGGATAAGTACCTCTGGATGAGTAAGTGTCGCCGTTCATGTTGAAGTTGGTTGAGTAAATGAAGCTTCGTCGCCAGTGAAGGGGAAAACTCATGACCCGGAGCTGCAGGCGGTGAATGGCTCACCGCCACAATGTCGATTGGACTGCCGGCAGAGAAGATGAACATGGAGACAGGGACTCCGCGGTTTACTATTCTTAGTGTTTCAAAGATGTCTGTAGGTGCTTTGTGTGAATGGCATAAGCTGCCTTTGAGCTTGAGTGAGCTTTGTATTAACACTACCCTCAGGTGTGGCCAGTCTTTTAGGTTTGTCTACCAAATTCTCGGCCCCGTGGGTAGGAAACCAAACGACTGACCCTTTTTAGATGGCAGAACCTGCCAGAGAGTCAGGAATGGCGATGCGTTCTCTATGGCCACCTTCTATCGCTAAAGCAAGACTCGAATTTCTTGTATTATAGATCTGTGCAACCTCCTTCCAATACGTCTACACCTCCAACCTCCGACAATGACCATCTCGTGCGCATTATCAAACATTACTTCAATCTGACGCCAAATTTGACCGAACTTTACTCCCAATGGTCATTAAAAGACCCCAACTTCAAGAAAAAGGCCGCCCAATTCACTGGTATCAGGATCCTTCGGCAAGATGCCTGGGAAGCACTAGTGTCATTTATCTGCAGCAGTAACAATAATATTGCACGGATATCACAAATGGTGGAGAAATTATGCATACATTATGGAAAACCTGTGGCTACAATCGAAGGGCGCGCATATCATGATTTTCCTCCTCCAGGGGCATTAACTGGCAAGGACGTGGAAAGCAATCTGCGCAAGTTAGGGTTTGGATACCGGGCTAAGTACATCTATCAAACTGCGGTTATGGTATCCAACCGAGAGAAGGGCTGGCTAGACAGTTTAAGCAATCCTGAGTGTCCAGCATTTGGCGTGGACCCTAAACCCAGTGGCGAAATGAAACCAGAAGGTCGGGAGGGATATCGCGAAGCCCACGAAAAGCTTCTTGAGCTACAGGGAGTCGGGCCCAAAGTGTCAGATTGCGTCAGTTTAATGGGATTAGGCTGGGGAGAGTCGGTGCCAGTTGATACTCATGGTGAGTTCTCTTGATACTAGTATCTCCGATATGTCTCTAATCCTTTACAACAGTGTGGCAAATCGCACAGCGCGACTACAAATTTGGAAAAGCCTCAAACAAGAATCTGAACAAGACAACTTACGATGCTGTTGCCAATCATTTCCGCAAGCTTTGGGGCAAGGAAGCTGGATGGGCTCATAGTGTTCTTTTCACTGCGGATCTGCGGACCTTTGCAGACAAACTTGCTGCAACCAAGAAGGTTGATGTGAAAGTGAAAGTGAAAGAAGAAGAGTCTGGTGTCAAGGTCGAGACGAATGTGGCAACCGCACTCTCATTGAAAGTTCCCAAGGAGGAAGACGTTGATGTAAAAATCAAAGTCGAGGACTTAGATGGTGTCAAGAAGCCCAGCGACAGGAAGCGCAAGGAGGCCGAGACCATTGTTCCTGTCACTCAAACAACAGAGACACGGAGAATGTCCAAGCGACTAAGACGCTAAGGCCGTTAGGGACGAGAATTATTGTAACATTACTTTGATCGCAGAAAAATATCTGTAAATTTTATACTAGACATTACAAAGCAATCGAGTGATGTGGTAGAGGCACGAATTTACGATGGAAATAAAAGGCCAGTGCAATAAACATGTGCATTTGTATTCGGTAATTATAGCTATATCAACGATCGATGCCTAAAACCGTAGTTAGTATAACGGTCAAGCAACTCATAACAAATGTTGCGAAGTTGGAAAAAAGTGATCAGAAGTCCGATTAACTCATTGAGCTAGCATCCGAAAACACTAGCTCTGAAATAAGAGGTACCAGAAATAAGTATAACAAATGCGTTGTGTCATCATGTGGGAGGGTTGGGTATTGAGCAAAAAGATCTAGAACTGACCTGATGTTGACGGTGGCGAGAGGATAAAAGGCGTGTGTATACATTACAACTTGCACTCAAGTTGAACCAGAAAGCATTAATTCCAGTTAACTCAAGTGCAAAGTTGAGTTTGTTGGTTCTTGAAGTTGGAACGGAATAAGAAGAGAGAGGAAATGAAGTTTTATCGAAGAAAAGAAATAAGCGAAAGCGATCACGTGACCCCACACAGGCCCCATCTTTCCCGTCCACACTCACTCTCTCACAACTCTTGATTTTCGATCTTTCATCCACGCCGACAACCGACCAGTTTTCCTCCGCCGGACACATCACCAATCCAAAATGGGTCGTCTTCACTCCAAGGGCAAGGGCATTGCCTCCTCCGCCATCCCCTACTCTCGTACCGCCCCCGCGTGGCTCAAGACCACCCCCGACCAGGTTGTCGACCACATCTGCAAGCTGGCCAAGAAGGGTGCCACTCCTTCCCAGATCGGTGTTGTCCTCCGTGACTCCCACGGCATTGCCCAGGTCAAGATTGTTACTGGTATGAAGATCCGGAAAAAACGCGACCCTAGGAATTCGAGGATTGAAATTTTCTAACATTTTTTTTCCGCGCAGGTAACAAGATCCTCCGTATCTTGAAGTCCAGCGGTACGACTCCCTCCGCCCATATAATTACATCCTTCGGGTGAAGAGAGCGAACAATTTGTGCGGACAAACTTTTCTGGTTCGGTAAAAGAATCGGTGGTTTTGAAGTGCAAAATGCTCGTCTCTCTCCCCCGACAACTGGTCGCAGAAATGCATCAGCAATTAAGCCTCTGCTTGGTCAAGAATATCTAGACTGACAGAGAGATTGGAATACAGGCCTCGCTCCCGAACTCCCCGAGGACCTTTACTTCCTGATCAAGAAGGTAAAAACTTTTCCCCTCCCTTTTACCCTTATCTCCATTCGTGCAGAATATGCTAACCTCGAATTACCCAGGCCGTCGCTGTCCGCAAGCACCTTGAGCGTAACCGCAAGGACAAGGACTCCAAGTTCCGCCTGATTCTGATCGAGTCCCGCATTCACCGTCTGTCTCGCTACTACAAGACCGTCGGTGTCCTGCCCCCCACCTGGCGCTACGAGAGCGCCACTGCCTCCACCCTTGTCGCATAAGTGCATTTTGGGAGGATGAGTGGTTGACGGAGGGAACCCATCGGATCGTCGTGATCGTCGTATCTGGAGGGTCTATCTTCTGCTAGATACAACAAAAAAAGATTACGATTATTTGATACCCTGTTCAGGAATGCTCTAGGCTCCATTATTAGTAACTGTAGGTTCAGATAGTAGTTTTATAGATGATTTTTCAGCACCAATTGCCCAGGTGAGTATTGCCAGTCAGGTCATATAAAGCGGGTACTCGAGAATTAAGTTGGGCGCTAGCAAGTAAGGCTATGTACGAATAAATAGACATATTTTCAAGAAAATACTTGTAAAGGCGTTACTCACACATCACACTTAGCTCTAACCTCCCTCGCCACAGCATTGCAAAGCTCAACTTTAACACCCGCCGCTAACAAGATATGGATCCACAGGCGCTGAGTATCACTCAACCGATCATTTTCCGACTTGACCTCAGCAAACATCACCGTCCGCGTCTCATGATTCCAGAGGAATAAATCAGGGATTCCTCCACCGCGCTGTTGGTATTCCTGCGCCATAACCTTGCAAATGGTTGCAAGTGCCTCGCCTCGGAAACACTGCACGATCTCAACTAAGTCATCTAAATCGAAAGACCAGTCAAGCCCAACGGCGCAGGGCTGCGACTCCGCCTCACGAGCATAGATCTCACGAACGATCCGCTCCGCATCACCATTCGTGATCTCAACCAGTCGGTGGTTGACTTCCGATGCTCGAGACGGGTAGAAGACATCAGTGTGAAGATCAAGTGGACACGTCTGAAACGCAGTCTGGAAGACATTGGGTACGTATGTGAACAGGATATCGTAAAAGAGGTAGCCGAACTGCGTTCAAGATCGGAGTTAGCTCGATTTTCCGGATATTCAAATGCTGCTTCGTATAGGTAAGACTCACCAGTGTCCGCACAATCCCCCCCTCAGAGTGATACCCTTTCCATCCATGATCACGGTACCAGCTCAGACACATACTCTCGACCCTACACTCGCCGCCCTCTCTCTCGTCAACCCAAACAGTCGCTTTCCCCTTCCGCGGAGCATCGCCCGTATCAATACGGATACCCTCGATCGTCCGCTCGGCTGGTTTGCCTAGCATGACATGTCCGAAGTCATGCTGCTCGCGCTTTACTACCCGAAGCGCCTTTTCCAGCTTCGTGATCCGCTTCTGCAAGTCATAATGAAAGATTAGATGGCAGAGCGGGTCTTCCAGTCCAGCTTCGCACGTCCGTAGCGCAAGTCTCTTCCAATGCTTGCGTTGGACTTCTTCGCTGCGCCCATCTGTAGGCGTAAGTGCCCACATGTAATGTTCTTCCAACAGTGCCTTGCGCTGATACCATGCGCCGCGCCGAGCAGCGTGGAAGAGACGTTGGGCAAGAAGTTCCTCTAGCACCTCGTGCTCGCGTTTATGCTCCTTGAACCGCCCGAGCGGGTGGAGACTCTTGTGGATTATTCTTGTAAGTACCCATGCTGGCGAGAATCGGCGTAGATAAGCCCCTTCGCCACTTTCGTAGATACTGTCTTCTTTCTTTTGCTCTTGCTCGACTAGCTCTTTCCATCGGGGATAAGACTTGTTGGCAAGGTCGATGATCTGTTGGAGGGATTCGGTCGTGACTGGGCCGTTGAATTCGAGGATGTTGTCGATGGCGAATTGGGTTCGTATCGCTGATTCAAATTCCAGTAGCGTTTCTCTCGATGCGAAGATGGAATTCGAGCGGCAGACTATATATTCGGGGAAGTTCCTTTTCGTCATTTTGGCTAGGATAATTGTTGTGAGGGACTTTTCCGTCCACTCGGTGGAACGATAGAATACTAGGTGCACTCGCTCGAAGAGAGCGCGAGGCATCGGCGAGATCCTAATGCATCCACCGGTGTAGTCCAATATCTTCTCAGTGAAATGTCCGTCTCTGTTGTTTGTGTCGTTGAGTCCTGTTTGGGTCTGACTCGTTTCGCGAAGAGCCGCCAGCAGCTCTTTCTTGCTCTTACCCTGGACTTTGGCCTCCTTTGCAAAGACCTTGAGTTCTTCCAGCAATAGAAGCGATGAAGCCTCTTCCAGCGTTGTGATCGCTTCTATGCCTTCTGCAAATCTGAACGTACTGCCGGGTTCTGAATCAGGCAGGTTCCGGTCCCGCTGTAGGTCTTCAGCAACAGAGAATAAATCCGAGACATCGGAGTAGTAGTTCAACCGGTTGATACGATGCCAGGCAGAGGTTTTGCGGAGGAACAGTCGAACATACAGATACTGGGATTCGTAGGAGAGCCGCCGCCATTGCGTAAAGATTTCCATTTCGGCCTCGTTAAAGAGATGTGATTCCTCATTCAGCACAGTTTCCAGTGCCAAGTTGAATGCATCCACATAGATGGAGCTTTTGCCTTTCTGCCAGGCACCATCTCGTAGCCTCATGTATAATCCCAACTCAGTGTCATTCTGCGACGCCTCGTACTCCTCGATTGCATCCTCGTCAGTCTTAATCGTAGGAAGTGAAGTCTCGAGTTCTGTTTGGCTGTTGGTAGAACACCCTATATCTTCTACTGCAGGTGTCTCGCCCGCTGTAAACGAAGGACTCGGACTCGGTGGTGGTTTAATCTCTGCATCTGTACTAGAATCCTCATTTTCAAAAGCTCGCCGACGTTTTGCCGGACACTGCGTCTCCCAAAAGTTCAGCAAGGACATAATCTCTCGTGTCCATGGATTCAATCAGTCTCAACAACCCGAGTCTCCGAGTACAAGCAGACACTAACGACGTGTCTCGCGAACAGGTTTCAAACACGAGATCACGTGCTTGGTATAACTATATTAGGCTGTTTGCCTTGTTTGCATATGACATAGCAAAGACCTCAGACATAGCGAAACACATAAGAAAAGAGAAAAGGAATTAAGCAAGGACGATCTGAAGAGAAAAAAAAAAACAGAAATGCTATTTGAATACCGCTCGAACCCCTCTAAGTGTAATTTCTAGAGAAAAATGGCCTTACCAGTAAGTCCCAGCTCTCCCTCCCTCACAATGGATCGACACCTGTGAGCTCCACAGCTTCCGCTCCGCGAGCGTTCGCCGATTCCACTATTGCGACTCCCACTTCTTCCTAAAAGACACACCTCCCAGGCTCTCAATTAACCTGTGCAGCCTTCCACCCTCGCGATCTCAGATCCACCCGCCTCCTCAGCTCCTGTACCCACAACCACGGCGCACCAAGCAAAATCTACATCCACTATGGGCGAAACAAACGGCGCTGGCTCCGGCACGCCGCTTGGTGATTTGGGCAATATCTCTGCGGGCCAGGTTCGCCCCGGTGGCGCGCCGGCGCGCGTCTATCTCAATGAGAAGGTCGTGCCGTATTTGCTTGACGGGATGAAGTCCGTTGCGCGCGAACAGTGAGTGGAGTACTATGGCTAGCTAGCTTTTCTACACTGGTCTGCTGGGTGGATTTGCTGATCTCTTTGTTTTTCTCTTGTGCTAGGCCTGCCAATCCTCTCCGTGTGCTCGGCGAGTTCTTGCTTCAGAAGAGTAACGAAGTAGAGGGCGAGACTAAGAAGGAGTCGGAGTAGAGAGGAAAAAGAGAAAGGGTTTCTTGGGCGTTTGGTGGAGCTTGATCGGCTGTTCTAGGATTGTTTTTATTTTTTCTCCCTTTCTGTTTTTGCGAAGGCATTGATTGGCTTTGGTTTGTAAAGCTTAGGAGTGGACTTCGATATACACTAAGACGTTCACCATTTGATACCCCGGTCAAGGTCTATATCTGTCTTACTAGTGTGGTCTGAACGATCAATAGAAAAGAAAGACAGTGAGAATGATGTCTTAAAAAGCGAAGTGGTGAGTACATACTACCTAAGAAAATAGAATATATCAAATCATGTACATAAAAGGGCTTGAGACATTTCGCGGCTACATATTTTTATCCTTCTAGTTATACTGAAAATGATGAAAATATATGAAAAGTAATCGCGATGTTGTCTTAATATCTTGAATAGAACAGCCCTGATCCTATCTCAAATAGGTCAGGTTATTCAAGTCGTTGTCCTCAAGGACAGAGGCGACCAACTATACTCGTCAAAGGATATATAGACACTAATAATGCTGGGGGCCCAATGAACAGAGTGCCCTATCGGTTCGAGTATGTATTATTATTTGTTCAAAATCCAAGTTTCGATAAATCAAAGAGAATCCACACAGCCCCGAATTCAAAGACAAGGGGCTTGGACTTCTTACTACTCAAAAGAGGACCACAGGATGCCCACAATCTTTAAAGTAGTGTGCATCGTGCTAGAAGCTAAGCTCTTCCATAGGGCGCATAGAAGCCGATATATATTTCAGTAAGTTTCATGGAGAAGAATAATATAAGTACGAGTATCCGAGTCCTACCCCAATCAAATTCGGGGAAGAACAAAGGATTCCAAAAAAAATCTAGATAGGTTAGCTTGTAAAACACATTTCACCTTTAATGGCATTGTCGATCCAAATCGATTAATGCCTGGAAGTTTAAAGGTTGAGACTACAAGCGCAAAGTCGACGGCTTTGAAAGCGAATGGTTGATCATTCGGTTGTTTAGAGAAGTCGAATACAATCGAGCCGTTACTGGAGATGGTGTAGAGGTGAAGTTGAAGCTGTAGCTGTGTGACGCATTTGTTGACCCTGAGATAACCGAATTACAGCGATAATTTTCTTCCCTCTGCCGCTAGAAGTTTTTTTTTTCTCCCGAAGTTGCGTCGCGAACAGACATAAAAGTGACACATCATCAAGTGACCGAAGTGTGCGATGAAGTTGCCGAGTCGTGGCGCTCCGTCTTTTTTTTTTTTTCTTCAATCGTCGAGCCGAGAAAAATTGACAAACAAAGACAGCGACGCCCCGTGGCCCGTCGCCCAAATCCCGCATTAAAACAATCCCAGAAACAAAGAAAAGGGGGGAGGAAGTGGGCAAGTTTGAAACATGGAACCAGGAACCAGGAGACATCAAAGGCCAGTCTCTGTTCTGGTTAGAAAACAAGGGG